TTTTTTCCGATATGGGCTCTATGCCAAACTTTGAGGCCGTTTAGGGGTTAAAGATTTTATCCGATCGAAATGATATTCTTCACCGTTAATAGTGTTACTGGATTAAACATGTCTCCACCAGATCCGCTATCAGATTCGAAAAAAAGGGTTTTTCGAGGTACTCTTGTGCATCTCAGCAGAGACACCACTATGTTTAACTGCGCAGCCAAACACGCCACTTTTTGAAACTTTATGAGTGAATAAACTATGAACATGTACAAGTGACCATATACGGGTCTACTCATAACAAGCAGGCCCGCCCTTCTGCCAAACGAAGTTGCCAGATCCGCTTCGCTCCGCCGGCAACTCCGTTCGGCAGGGGCCCAGGGCGTCATAACGTAACGCGTAACGGGAACCCACTAAACCGGAAATAAAATTGCAGTCTAGAAGCGTTTTTGAAGCGTTTTCATCTTTCTGCGAGCATTATTCATAAGAATACTTTCGAATTTCTTTGAAAACGCTTCTATGTCGCGTTAAAGTTGCAATTTTATTTGCGTTTCTATGCGTTTTCGTTACGCTTTTCGTTGCGTTACGACGCCCTGCAGGGGCGGCAGGCCCGCTAGGCCTGCCGGCGGCGATGGTCGGGCCGGCCTGACCATTTCAGTCACGCGATTTGCTGTAGAACATGATCTAATGATGTAGCGGGCCTTCGGCCCACTTCAACCCGTCGTCTTTCAGTTTGAAAAGCCACGAGAAAGGGATGAAACGGTGAAGCACCGCGACTACACACTGTGAAGTATGATGGTACAAATCCGCCCACGTTTTCGGTTGTCCCTTATTTGCCCACGGAAAAGAAGGTACAACTCTGAACTGGCCATGGCCATGGTACAATTTCCCCCAGCTACCCTCGTCACCCTCAGCTGTCATGTGGTAATGGCCTTGGGTGACCGCAATGCGGTCTGGCTTCTGTGTAAACAAGCCATAAACAACCTCGCCGTGAGCTGTACCCTATGGTACAATTTTGTCCCATGCCGTCTGTCTGTCTGTCTGTGTGTCCGTGTGTCGAGCGCGCTGCGGCAGGGAGTAGTGACAACAGCGCGCGCGCTGAGCTGTACCCTATGGGCCGATTTTGACCACACTCTGCTGTCTGTCTATCCGTGTGTCCGTGTGTCCGTCGCGTTGCCGATGTTAAATAAAAAAATGAAAATAATAATTTGATTTGCGGATGTTTATTCCGATGTGCGCATCGAGGCGGCTGCCCCTTTGCTATTTCGGATTCCTACGGACATCCGAGTTGGTCACGTGCTTACAGGCTATGATCATGGCTTGTTCGGCTGCTACATAGAAGGATACACGCCTACCGCTGCCAGCGCCGGGAACAGAACCCGGCGCTGCCAACTCAGCGTCCTCGCCTCGTTCGCAACCAACTGAGCCATGCAGCCCGATGCGGGGACGAGTCCGGACGGCGAAAGACATTCCATAGCCTTTGTCTCGCCGGCCCGACACCGCCGGGCACGCCGCTTGCCCACCCCCTCTCTTCCTCCGTCCCTCTCCCTCCGCCGGGCCACCCCGCTGCCCGCACGCGCCTAGGCAAGGGGGCGCGGGGGCTGCGGGGGAGCAGCGGATTCCGGCGGGGGCGCGCTGCATCCGTGCGGGGAGCCGTCCGTCGTCCTGCTCGTCCGCTCGGCGCTGTCCGGGACTCGGAGGTGGTCGCCAGCTCCGTCAGGGCGGTCGGCTCCGGGATGCCAGGCAGGCGGCCCGCGCGTCCTCGGCCGGGCGGGGCGTGGCGTGGCGTGGCGTGGCGCAGCAGCTGGTGGTGCGCACCGAGGCCATGCCGTGATCGCCGTCCTGGTGGGGCCGCCGATGTCCACCGCGGGGCGAACCGGGGGGGCCCTGCGGGTGGCGGATGGGGGCAAGCCACCGGGGATCATCTTCCTGGTGTCCTGATTTCTTATCCTAAATACTTAAGCTAGGGCGGCAAGGTTGTCGGGTGCGGGCCCCGGCTGATTGAACAGCGTTCAATGTCCACGCCGGGGCCGGCCTCACATAGTTGAGGGGGGGGGGCGCATTTGAGCAGGCCTGTCCACCACCGGGCCGCATGCCTTTTAGCCGAGCACACACACATGGGTTGCGACTTTTGGGGATGGGCCTGACTTTTGAGATTCCAAGAAGAATAGCCAGAGCTGCTCTCTCACTCCCACTCACTACGCCATGCCATCCTTTGTCTACCGGGCGCGGTGCTTGCGCGCACATGCGGACCCGGGGAGGCTGGCCGGAAGGACCCTTGTAAAAACTGTTACGGTATTGGGGGAGAGGCTGGCAATGAACTATCTCTTGGCCTTGGCCCCTCGTCAGGCAGCCGCGTCCCTTGTTCGGCTGTTTGCAGGGGGCGGGGACGCTACCTGCCCGCTACGCCGGCCCACGCCACGAGCGCTGAGCTGTACCCTAGGAGACAATTTTGCCCACGACCACCACGACCACCCACCGTGATCCGGCACGCTCCATGGAAAACGGCCACGAATTGGGGCCAATGATTTGTACCCTGGCGACTGTGGCCAAAACCTGTACCCTCCGTCATATTGTCCGTAAAAATTGTCCCCTCAAGTTTCACAGTGCA